ATTTAAGGTCTTTTCCTTAAAAAATCAACAATCTTCACTGCCTGATAGATATACGATATAAAGTGGGTCTCGGAATGTACAAAAAGCACTGCGTTAAATGTAGTTTTTCTGCGCCATGTCTTTAAATATGAAAATTTATTTTACCCCAGTATTTTCAATGCAGTTTCTGCACTAGTCTGCTGATCCTGATGGCGTGTGCGTGTTCACAGATTTTTATGTCATTTTACACTTGAACAACTAAATTAATGCTGAAGTCTATTTAACTGATTGAATTTAAATCGATGCTGTAAAAGGAACGTTATAACATTTTTGAAAGTCACTTTAACCATTCACCGGAAGGTTATTGATATGCTGGCCAGTTTGTCATTTGCCTCATAAATGACAATAGGCTATGTTTTTTGATTTAAAAGTTTCACAGATTCCTATATTTCTTTCTAATGATATATGATGTAATAAATTTGTATTTTAAAAATAAGTTTGTTTTTTTCACTTTTCTCTTTTCTACATCGTTAGGAAAAGTGGTTATAATGACCATCCGACAAGCTAATCCAGCTAAAAATAGTCAGTTTAAATTGTCACTAAAATGCAGCATTTAAATCTCATAATTAAATAGAAAATGAGGCGAATATCTGCAAAAAGGTCAACTTTTTGAGAAAAAAAAGAACTACCTCTATCACCAGGCGGGCTATGGACCTGTCACGGCGACCCAAGTTCGATTATCACCTCAAGTTCCTATGCTTATACTTTCCCTCTGTCTGCTTTCCATGCTTTATTGTCTATACTCTCTACTGTCTTATCATTTAAAGGTGAAAATCCTGACACACATAGTTCTGTAAAAAAAATTTTGTGCTGTCAGTAAAATACAATTAATTTGTCAATAAAAACGTACAACTGTCAAATGTGAAGAGTCTTTGCTATTTATTATTAGTTAAAGTAAACATGTCAACATTGACAGCTCTAATATTCGTCAAAAATAATTTTAGTTTCCTCTTAAATTTATTATGAACCCACTCGAACTCACTCACTAAGGTGACGTCTACACCAAACTAACCTTTGACAGTAAACATGAACATCGTAAGGCCGTCTGCGTTAAGTTGACCTTCATTTAAAAGAACTATCAAAACAGATGTGCGCCAGTGAAGTGGCAAGTTGTTCATCTTAGTGCTTAGTTTAATATTTAGCAGTCTCTGTTTACAGTCTAGACATCTTCCCAGACTGTCCATATACAGTAGCCTCATGTCCAGTCTAATGCCGCCAGCGAAACAGGAAGTGGGTGAAAGTTGAAAAGACCACAGTAGCCCATTGTATGACCCCTGTAATGATTGACAGATTGTTCAATAGATAATCTGGGCATTGAACCCTGCGAGGTGAAGTGAAACACACTCATGAACAGGCCGATATGTTGGGTCATGCCGGTCATTTTGACTCATTCTCTTGTATCTAATGGCATTCGGAGAGGAATTCCTCAACCAAACATGGATATTTATACAGCTGTCTACAGCAATGCCAACAGACATTCATAAATGTGTTCCTCCTCACAAGCACAGCCAAAACTGTACAAGTACACTAAATTTTATCATCCGTTTATCTGTTTACGTCAACTCTTCCTTTGATGCTGTGTAGTTTAAATTCTTCAGATCTATTTTGGAATTCCAAAGACGTGCTAACACACACACACACACACACACGCACACAGACACACACACACAGAGACAAATGCGCACAAACACACACACAGTGGTCTCTCTGTCTGCCTCACAAACTCCATTCCCAGGCTTCAAGGACTCGATCTTTCTGATCTGACGATGATCATGACCACAAACACACACATAAACACTTTGTTGCCACCAAATGGATCTTATAGTGAGAGGCTTTATTTTTAGTGAATACATTTCTGAGCATGACAGAGAAATAGATGGAAAGATTCAGCAAAGGGGTAAAAATACACACACTCTGTCCTCTGAGACCATGTGAGCTCATTATGTTTTTACAAAGACTCTTTTTGTTACCGATTAGAGGCTGCACTGAGGTCATAACCAAATCTGCTCAAGTTTGGACCTAATAAGGCTGTTCGCCATCTAGCTTTGTCCCTCTTTTCTCTCTTTCTGTCGGTATTGATCGGTTTAGTGTGCATTCTTCTAATGAGTATGGGATTTTATTTTTGCGTGAGACTATTTTGTAAAGATCTATATCTGTATTTAGGAAATGAGAAATGCTTCTAAATAATATCACAACCAAATGACTTTCTCTTCCATTTTCAGTTTTCATACGTGCATTTTTGCTCGCACAGAATTTCGGTCTGCTTTCTGTTAGTATCTCATTGGCTAAAACTACTTTTAATGATCACTTTCTTTAGCGCCTGATTACAATTTCTTACAAATCATGTTGAAATGTTGTTTGATAGATTGTGATGATGAACATTACTTTCTGTTTTAGTTTACTCATATATGAGTGAGTATACATGCTATTAATCTTAGGACGATAACAATTTTTAAGGTATACCGCGGATTGAAAAAGTCAAGGTTTTAAAACCGCCAAAATGTTCTTTTATACCATTCCTATGATATACATATGATTTTTTATTTACTTTTTTTTAGGACAACAGTATTAAGACATCCAAAATTGCAGTTTTAAATTGTGTTTAGGAAACTAATGAAGAAGAAGAAGTCAAAGATTCATTTGTATGATTTAGCCTGACATATTTACTGCTCCAAAATACTTTAAATGTCTCTCAAAATCAAATATATTGTGTTCAAAGGGGGGAAAGTTTTATTTTTTCACCCAGACTTTTTAAATGAACATATTTTCAAGAGCTCACACTTGCTGATGATTGATTATAAAGCGAGCGTGCTGTCCCAAGAGAGGGACAGGTAGGTCTCGAGAACTCCCTCCTTATTTAAAGCCGATGACGGATTATAAATTGCTATATAGAGATAAACTCCTGGTTAAGAACTTGACTATAGTGCTAATTTAGATTGATCAATTCACTTATGACAAATGCTTTTGTACTGTGGGAGAAAGCATGCATGCAAGCATTGGGAGAACATGTAAACTCCGCACAGAAACGACATCTGGCCTGTCAAGGGTTTGAACCAGTGACAATCTTGCTGTGAGGCAACAGTGCTAACCACTGGGCCACCATGCTGCCCTATAAAGAGAAAGGTGGAAAAGTAGGGGTGGAAGGGAGGATTCTACAAGGCGAAGATAACTAAAGTAACAAAATCTGGTTATGTAGTTAGGAATCATCTGATTGGTGAATCATGCGTTACTTAATTTAGGACCAGCTGTGATCAATCATAGGCATGTGCTCCTTTGAAATTAGTTTATAAATAAACTTCACTTTCAAACCGGAATATTTTTATCATACCGTCAGAATTTTACACCGGCTCATGCCTACATGCTATAGCATACAGATACAGATTACCTTGATACTTTGATTCTCAACTTTGTTTTTGGGTTTTATAATGTTGTCTGAAGTCCACTTCTAATATTAGCAAGAGTTTTACATAAAAAATATATTGTTTTTGACCTTCTCTTTGAAGCTTCTTGTTTCGTTCCAAATTGTTTATTATTGAAAATATCAATGTATTTTTATCATATTTGTTATTCAAATATCATTTGCTAAAGAAATTATTGCTGTCGTCTACTTAGTGTTCTATAGCTATTGATTCATGACTAAGCCTTTTAGTATACCAGCGTAGTCTACTTTGCAATTATGAAAAACTTATTTTGAGACCTGTCATCAGTACTGACTATCAGAAAATAAATCAAAATATGGTTGAAATTGTACATTACCAGTTTCGTTAATAGTAATAGTAGTACTACACATCTTTTGTTGCTGTATACAGTACTCAACATTTGAAGTTGATTAAAAAATGGACATAAAAAGGACAAAAATGATAGTTTTAGGACGACTTTGATGAAGGGTTTTGATCCACTTCAAATGTTGAATTCGATAATATTGTTAAATAGACAGTTACTGTATACATATGTACCATAACAAATATGTACCATTATTTGCCACTTTGAAATGTAATTTTTAAGTGCAAATAATGACCATTTTCTGATCAAATAATAAATCGAACTTTCAAAACAACTACCCAAATGATGAATATAATGCTCAAACGGTCAAATAATAAATCAAAATGCATTCTCAAATGAGAAATCAAATATATTTGCTTATTAATTTCCTCGAACAATTAAAATCCTGTAATGCTCAAACTATAATTCAAATGGAGGAACACACACAGCTGGAAGTTCATGATGGACCGATTACTAGGACTATAAAGACCCCTCATTGACACAGACACTGAGTCTTGTTTTTCCCTATGAAGCATCGCAAAGTATTTTTCCCTATTTGTCCTGCCATGTTTTGATCCTTGTCTTGTTAATCGTTACTGATGTTTTACCTCCTGTCCTGTTTCTAATTCTGTGTCTAATAAATGTTTTGTTAACATTTCGTCACCTTAAAATTGTAAGGTTCCATCTAAGTTCTGAATGATTTTGAGATATTTAGCTTCAATGTTTTTGTATTCCATAGCAAACAGTATGTGTGTATCATTTGTTTTTTTTTAAATAAAAAGTCTTAAAATGTAAACCAATTATTAAAAAGCATCCCATAATGAAAATAAGTTGTCTTTTAATAAGAATATGTCAATAACTCAATTTTGACAAAAATGTCAGATAGAACCTTATAATCCTAAGGTGATTATTTGTCACTGTTTTAGTTTTATTTCAATTGAACTATGTTTCTTTGTTCTGATAATGTATTATTTATTAGTTCCAATTTCCAAAAGAGTTTTTTTGTTTACTCAACTTCAGACATTGTAGGTTGGTGCAACTGATGTTTTTACAGGTTGAGTAAACAAAACAAAAAAAAAAGAGGAAATAAGGATTGTGAGTTTATGTGTTGTACTGGCTTTAAAGTTCTGATGAACCAAAACTCCTAAATCCTTTATGATTCCCACATCGGATCAATAACCTGCCTCTTCTTCCATCAGGGCGCTGGTGTATGTTGCCCATGGAGCGGGAGAGCATTGTGGGGGATACGCTGACATTGCTCACAGTCTGACCCAGCATGGCATTCTGGTGTTCGCCCACGACCACGGTGAGTGGCAGAGTCCCAATCAAACGGCTGAAATCCCCAGCGCTCAGATTTGCTGGGTGAACAGCAATGCTTTATGGGTGATGTAGGAGGGCGTGCTCTTTATGAGGCTGCGTGAGTGTGGGGTGAAAAAATTACATTTACGCCCACCATCTAGTTCCTGGTAATTCATCCACCCAGTTCTCCTGTCATTTATAACAGATGTTGTGGGGTGGGTGAAGAGTGGGGGATGGAGTTGAGAAATGACAGAAATGGGATGAAATGAGTGGAGAGTATAGAAAATAGCAGGTGCTATGTGTACAGCATGTTAAAGAGGTTTTGCGGCAGTGCCATGGTAACTCATGATTCACACAGAGAGACAGCGAGTCGTCTTGTGATGAGCAGTTGGGGTTTTGTGAGCGTGTGATTTGACTGTCTGCTGTCTCAGTGTGAGTAATTGGTCCTATTGAAATACAACAAACAGAAAGCATTACAAGTCACTCTCTCTCTCTCCTCCTCTACACTCTCAGTGTGTCTGTACGCCACATGATTTTGGGGGGAATTATTCTAATCTATTCAATCAGTTTGTTTGTTCCATTATTCATTTTATGTTAATTTGGCTGATTAAATGTCGTGTCATTTGTATCCTGGCATTTCCTGAGCTCTTCTTTGTGAGTTGTTGGCATGGTGTTGTGAGTGACAGTCCTTGTTTATTTCCTCTTTTTTAAAAGTAAGCCAATATACAAAGACATGGGTGAGTAGAAAAACATGTATGGGGTGTAATACACTCTCTTTCTGTTTCAGTTGGTCATGGTCAAAGTGAAGGTGAGAGGATGGAGCTCAAAAACTTCCAGATTTACGTCAGAGACTCCCTCCAGCACATTGACATCATGAAGGCTCGGTATCCCAAGCTGGCCGTCTTCATCGTTGGACATTCAATGGTAAGATTTCAAGCAAACCAAAAGAATTTTTGTAGCATGCCAAATACTAACACTTGATAGTTCCCTTTTGGGGATGCACCAAATTTTTGGCCGCTGAAAATTATATTATTTTCAGCCAATAGAGAAAATCTGCCAAAAATATAAGCCAAAGAAAGGCTACGCTGCTTTTTGTTTGTGTGTTTTTTTATCTGGTTTAATTCAAGGCATTGAGTTAAATGTAAAAAGTCTTATATTGTTTAATAAAATAATTAATTATTATTACAATGCTGTCAAATGATTTAGATTTTTGGCCAAGCACATCCAGAAGTTTTGGTTTCTGCCCAGCAGTTTCATTTTGGTGCATCCCTAGTTCTCTTTAGAGATTCTGTTGTAACTATGTTGTAAACGTAATAGAAAACATAATGTAAACAAACCTACAGTCTCTACCAACTCTACTAATACTCTAATCTAATAAGAGTTAGTTGACACATAGTAGTCGTAAAGTAACATATATATATATATATATATATTTAAGAGATTATCTAACACCCTGTTTACATCAATCAGATCACAATGGAGGGTACACTGTCATTTACAACTTGTGCTGTATGTATTTTGTAAGGTTTGGTATCAAAACCTAATTTAAAAATGTAGGCAATTGGGCTGAATCTGAAAATTTTGGTCTCTCATTGTGGTGCCAGCCTTGGGAATGTGCTTCTTTAAATGAATATCCTGTAAGTAATTTGTATAATTAACCTGCTTTCTGTAGATTTACAGCTCAATTTTTCAATGCATATGCTGATTATCTCACACATGCACAGTTTCAGGACAGTATGGAAAAGCACAGGCAGATGTGCTGAAGCAGGTTGGACATAAACACTGCAACAGGGTTAAAGACCGTAATGTTTGAGAATGAGGTCAGTAGGCAAAGAGTACGTGGTCTTATGTGGCTGTTTGCACATTTTGTTTTTGATATGGTTGAAAGTCGACAAGCTCAAAATATTTTCGACCCCATTTACTGCTGTTTTTTCGATTACATTTTTAAAAAGCATTTTGATACCCAATTTAACCCAAATTTATACCAAAATTCGTTACATTACAGTTTATTACTGTTAATCATTTGCATTTAAACTGTAGAAAAACTGATAAATTATGTTAAATTATACTGAAATTAGCCGTTTCAGGTTAATCATCATAAATTTAAGGTTTTAATGAGTTATTTTGTAAAACTGATCTGTGCATTTAAAGTAGTTTACTTTTAAAGTACAGTTTGTTCATGTGCAATAACTAAGAATTTATTGAATTAAACCTTAATTTTACAGAAATAAACCGACAACTACAACCAATTTCTGTAAAGTAAATAGTATTTAGTTATTTTATGTGTAAAAAAGGCCTTTATAGTAAAGTGTAACCTTGCAAATAAACATTTTTCAGTATTTATGAGGGAACAAAGTCAGGCACTCAGCTGAAAGAATTAGCAATGAAAGTGAATGCACATATATGTTAAGGTACAACCACAGTTGTATTTTCCTATCCAGCTGGAGGGTTTTTGCATAGGAACGCATAATATGGCACATTTTCCCTTTTTTATTTTGCATATTGATTTGTATTGCAATGTACCTATTGTTTCACGCAGCCTGATCTTGTCGGACAATTTTTCAGCAGCTCAATTTTGTATTTGCATTGTCACAAGTGTGGAAACGTCTAACATTTAGATTTAAATGTTTCCTACATTCATATTAAAATTCTTTCTGAGAATAGGACCCAAAAAGATGTAAATATTATTTCAGGATGGAAATTGTGTATGCAAACACATAACCCTCAGTTTACTAACTATGCAAAGCCAACTACAACTGTTGAGAGTAATAAAGTAAACCATTTGAAACTGTGATTCATGGGGTGGAGGCCACAGGAAGACCCGTTTGCTTTTGCTTTGTTACATTTTCCGTGTTCAACCAGACTACATGGCTAAGAATCCGCTTATAATGAAAACAAGAAACCAGCTGGAAGCTCTTTACTTTTCTTTTTTACTCGACTGTTCCTATTAATAAAACAGAGCAGCTGCATACTCAAGAAACTTCATTAGCCATATCGACTAGAAATGGGTTTGTATGTAGGTCAAAATCAAGACGTAGCATTTTGTTTGAATTATAAATACAATTATAATTAATTACAGTTATAAATACAAAAGTGATTTTAGATGCATTGAACACACATTAAACACAAGATTCTGTATTATTATAGTTTTTGAACATCTTCATTTAGTGTAACAGATGTATTTATGCAAAAATGCAACAGCACACTTGCAGTTAAAAACCAAATTTTGATTTGTTTCTTCAAATATAGAGAAGATTGACACAGTTTTAAACAATAATAATTTTTTAAAAAGTGTTGCGGTCTCACTTTATATTAAGTGGCGTTAACAACACTGACATTTGTCATCTGTTACAGTCAAGTTATTGTTGTGTAAATACATGTTTTTACATTGTACTTATGCTTGATTAAATACCTACAAGTAATTACATCTGTAATTACACTGTTGATCATCCCTAATACTTTAACCCACCCTCAAACCTACCCATACCACCAAACATGTCCCTAACCATATCCGTATCCCAACTCAAGAGCACCAGAAGTGTTCAGCAGTACATTATAAACACATTAAGTACATTGTATTTATATTTTAAAGTAAGTACATAGTAGTTAAGGCCACTTAATATAAAGTGGAACCCTGTGTTTCTCTATCTAGTGACTCATTTGTTTTGTCTTTGCCATAATGACAGAACATCATATTTTTCTAGTTATTTTGCAAGATACTAGTATTCAGCTTAAAGTTATTTTTAAAGGCTAAACTAGGTTAACTACATAAAAAAATACTTTTGTTGCTTGTTCATACTAATTTAAAATTAGTTGAAACAACATCACTCATTCTTAATTTTTTTGGGACAACGTAATTGTTTTATGTTCAATCTACATTCATTTGTAAAAACAACTAAGTTAACTTAACATATTTGTGTTGAGACATCTTGAGGGAATTGTGCAGAACCAAGCATTTTTTACAAAGTAGGCAAGTTAAAAGAATTTGGCAGGTTATTGGACAATGGGGGCATCACGGTGGCGCAGTGGGTAGCGCTGTCACCTCACAGCAAGAAGGTCACTGGTGCGAGCCCCAGCTGGGTCAGTTGGCATTTCTGTGTGGAGTTTGCATGTTCTCCTCGTGTTTGCATGGGTTTCCCACGGGTGCTCCGGTTTCCCCCACAGTCCAAAGACATGCGGCACAAATGAACTAAATAAGCAAAATTGACCGTAGTGTATGTGTGAATGAATGGGAATGTATGGGTGTTTCCAAGTGTTGAGTTGCAGCTGGAAAGGCATCCGCTGCGTAAAACATATGCTGAATAAGTTGGCGATTAATTCGCTGTGGCGACCCCGGATTAATAAAGGCACTAAGCCGTAAAGAAAATCCAAGAATAAATTGATAGTATTAATATTAATAATAATCAACTTTACTTTTTTAACTACTTTTTTAAAATGAGTTGAAACAACATAATTTTTACATTTATTTTGGGGGTAACTCAATTGTTTTGTGTTCAATCCAAATTTGTAAAAACAACTAAGTTAACTTAATAAATTTGTGTTTAACATAAAGGAATTGTGTGGAACCCAGCATTTTTTACAGTGTAGACAAGTTAGATTAATTAGGCAAGTTATTGGGCAATAATGGTTTGTTCTGTAGTCAGTTGAAAAGGGGGGCTATTAATAATAATAATAATAATAATAATAATAATAATAAACTTTATTTTATATAGCTCCTTTAAAAGTCAAACCATAAAGCCATTTACAAACATATGAAAAGTACAGAGGTAAAAAGATACATACAATGATACATGCATAAAAGACTAGACAAAACAAAGCAATTTAGAAACATTTCAAACCATATAAAAAAAATCCCATCCCTGGACCGGAAACACTGGATTTATGTTCTTGCACGGTGTAATATTGGGATTGTCTGTGAAAAGGATGCATGGCACTTCTATAACAACTTTTGCCTCATAGATATGTGCAATAACCAAGATAGAACACATGTTATTGTGATTTTTTAAAATTATTTAACCCTTGTGTGAATGTCCAATGTATGCAAGTTTGTTAGATTTAAAAGAAGTTTTAAGCAGAGATAAAATTAATAATTTATTTTCATGATTTCTATGTATTGTATAATTCTCTCTCTCTTTTACCCTCTCCTTGTTTTTGGCTCTGTTTATTTCCTTTGTTTGTTAGTTTAATTTATTATTTAGCATTTATTTGCCAGGGGTGGATGAGGTGGGGTATAAATAGAAATTGCAGTTTCTATATGTATGTGACAATATTTCCACTTGTCTAATAAAAATTTGATCACAACAAAAAAAATCATAAAAGCTATCCTAATACTGTAAGTTTTAAAGGGGTGGTCCACTACAATATCATATTTTAAACTTTAGTTGATGTGTAATGTAGCTGTGTAAACATAAACAACATCTCTGAATGTAATGCACTTAAAGTTCAATGCAAAGGGAGACATTGGCTTATACAGATTTAGCTTAGCAAAGCCTACAGCGAACAAAGTTAGAGGACTACAAACAAATACATGCGGGTTAGTGAGATCACAAGGGCTTCAGGTTGCACGCAATCACCATGCGCACACACCGCATGCAGCAAAGGGGCGTGGCCAGAGGTGCTGTAATGTTATAGCAGAGAAAGCTTAAATGCTGTCAAAACGCTGCTATTTCCACAGAGCTTCTTTAATTTATGTATTTAGGCTTTCAAGGGACACGACACAAAGATGCAAGTGCTTATGTCATTTTAATTATGTTCTAGGGAATTATAAAAAAGATATATAAGATATACTCTCCCAGTTCAGTGCTGGATTCGGTTAAAAACTCCTCAAAGTAGGAACTCCACCAACCATAGTAGAAGAAGCTGCGGATTGTGAGCAACAATCTTTAAGTATTTTTACATGTTAAAATTAATTTATTACATGCTTCTAGCATGTAGTTTCTAGCATTAATGGTATGTTGTAACATGGATCCGTAAACAAGGATGTAAACAATTGGAACTGCTGTTTGGCACCACTTACAATTTAGCTGCAAATTTAAATTTATCCATCAAACTGCTGTAAACACCCACAATCTACACCAGCACTGCAGTGTCTCTCTATGCGGTCACTTTCCTTGCGTTCTACATCTCATGTAAATGTTTCATATTACTTAAACATGCTTATTTCCAATTATATGTGAAAGACACTTCATTTTAGAGAGCAGACGTGAGGTTCAGCTGTGTCCTTTTCATTTTCTGTCTGATTCAGGCACAAACTGATACAGCTAACAGCTGCAATGACTGACAGTGTTTACACAGCGCAAAAGCACGTGCTTGTAGGGGCATGACGCTTTTCCTGGTGACATGGAGCCGATCTGCGAATCACAGCACATGTTAGCTGGCCAATCAGAGCCCCTTGAGGCTGGGCTTTCAGGGGAACTAAGAAAAATAACAGTCGTTTCCATGTTAGCTGAGTAGCAGTATATAACCAAAGTAAGATATGAAAAAAATTATTTGAGTACACATTGCTTTGCATACAAACACAACCAAGCCTTAAAAATTCACTCTGGACCACCCCTTTAAGTGACGATATGAAGAAAAAAAGAGATTCTGCATTATGAATATCGGAGGGCAAAGAGATCCACAATTATTCCCTATAATTTAATAATATTATCCTTAAAATATCCTTTTATTCCAACCAAACTAAAAGAAACAAGACTTTCTCCTGAAGGAAAATAAAATATGAAATACTGTGAAAAACGTCCAGTTTCGCTTGTGAAATATTTGTAAAAGAATTACCACTGGAGGGCTAATAATTAAGTCTTCAACTGTATTCAGACCTGTACTTTACTGAATTATTTTAAAGTGTTCCTTCTAAATCCTATATTTTAAACAATTGAAACTTTGTGCTGGCAAATGGTTGCAATAGAGTGGTTTAAAGCACAGTAGCAAATTATAAAGATTCAAAGTGATAATTATTGTGTATTTTGGGGCTGAACCATAATTAGAGTCTTTTAAAATGACTCATCAAATTATCTAAATATGCCTGACAACATTTTTAGGTATATGAACTATTATTACACTCACTGAATGACATATTAAAGAGTGTCTTGCATAAATCATTGCAGAAAGGTCATTATTTTTTCTTTCACTCGAAACAGAAGACACGTTAATGCTAGGAGACATCTAGTAATAATATCCATAATGCATCTCTCCCCTCTTCCTTCCCAGAAGATCTCAATCTAAATAATGAAGTGCGTTTTTTTTTTTTGCTCTCCGTCTCTGTTACTTTTATTTATTTCTTCCCCTCTTTCTCTCTCTTATCTTGTCCCTTATGTAATACACCAGCCTGTTTGGTCCTTATATAATCACAGCCTCAAGTATTTGATAAGAAATATAGAAAAATGAAACGACCTTCCATCTTGTTTCCTGTGTAAATGACGTGCGTATTGTTTAATAACCATGGGATTGTCTGTCCTTGTGCTTTTCGCTTCCTGAGACCTGAGGAACCCAAGTTACTGGCTGAATAAACATTTGCTTTCCTATCGCATGTTTACAGATGAAAGTGATCAGTGTCAAAATTGTGTGTGTGTGTGTGTGCTTGTAAAGGAAGTCACGTATACAAGCTGTTATAATTATCGGTCTGTTGGGTGTGTTTGAAACGTTACTCCCAGGGATGCAATTTATTGCAATTAAAAAGCAATTACATTATGTAATCGAATCAAAGCAAACCACCTATTTATTTGGGGCTGGTGTGCATTTGGTTGCGTGTGTCCAGAATGAGTGTGTGTTTGGGATTGTGGATGTGGACTGAAAGTGTGTGTAACTTCACGCTGGCCATTATCGGAGAGTCTTTGAAATGTGCTGGGAACTGCTCTTTAATCTCTCCACCTCTTTTGAATGCTGGCCTCTCCTCATGAATATTCATGGGCAGGTTCATAATGGCGACGAGATGAAGCAGAGCATCAGAAAATTACCAATTAGGGGCTTCTCGCCTAGAGGAAGGCTTGTGAGGAGGAAAAACATGTTTTTTATAAATTCGGTGAATAGTCAGATTTAAAACTTCCCAAATGTAATAACCATCAACTTGTGATTAAAAAAATGAATCAAATATATATATATATATATATATATATATATATATATATATATATATATATATATATAATATATATATATATATAATTAATTACAAAGAAACAGCAAGTAACACAGTTAATTAAACTGAAATTTCTTTTGAAGTATCACAGTGCAGCCTCAAAATGCTAATTAATTTTTATTTTAAAGTGTTAGACTTTGCCAGCATTCTTCAAACCAACGTTTTGGTACCCATTTCTCAGGAAGAAATTTTAATTGCTCAAAATATCATATGATTTTGTATGATCTCTTACTCTTTTGCAGTTCTCAGTGTAAATAAGCACCACTTTTTAAAAAATTAATATTTTTAACCATTTCTCAGTGACTATAACCATTTATTTGTGGTGCATTTAAACAAAACTGTTTTATTAAACAGCTATATGCCCTGCGTATTTCCAATTTTGGCTTTGGCATTGACTAATCTAATTTATAGAGCAGAGATGGCCAAAGTAGGGCCCGTGGGCCAAAATTTTAAGCTTTGATTTGGCCCACCTGAGAAAAGAGTGAGAATGATGGAGAGGGTTGGGGTGAATGCCTTTAACACAGAGGTCATCATTTTTTATTTGACGTAATCTTTTTTTTACTTTACCTCTTTTGTTTTATTGGTGAGCTACAAAAAAACTAATTAAAATTAATATACTGTCACTCGAAGGATAGAGGACTATATGCAGAAGACAATGGCGAGCGAATCAAGACAAAAGCCAGTGTAATTCTGTTATAAATTAGATTGTTTTGTTTTTACTGTAATAAGTTCATCATAAAAGGTAAAAAACTCTAGTATAAAGCAATGTTTCTAGTTGTTTTTAAATATAATTAAATTTATTTAAAAAATACCCAATCCAACTATATTTACCTTTGGTCCACTATAGTCTCAATCAAGTTTGGTTTTTGGCCCTTCATTAGGAAAGGTTTGGGCACCCCTGGTATAGATCATTTTGAGGAATGTAAACAATAACAATGGTCCTACTGTATTTCCTATTTACATCCACATAGTGATAAATAATGTTATGAGAACTGTTTTAACGTCAAGCAACGATTGAATTGCCTCTTGTCAAGGGTAAGGGCCAATAGCATCACCACATTAAAATAGTCTATATGCGCAAATATATTCCTGTAAAGTGTAGAAAATAGTCATTTAAAAGAGAGATCTGTGAGTGATGTACTCATTTACGTTCTTTCTGTTTCACATGAATATATGTTCGTTATGCTAAATTAATATTCACTTATTAGTTTTTCTTTCAGATTAGTCCTTTCTTTATCAGGGGTCGGCGGGTCGCCACAGCAGAATGAACCGCTTTCTATTCCAGCATTTATTTTACGCAGTGGATGCCCTTCCGGCTGCAACTGAATTAATAATAAAACATTATTTTATCTTTAAGAACCTCCTACAGGACAGCTAAGTGAGGAATTTGAGTTATTTTCATATATCGATGTCACTCTATCTTTCCAGCCAGCGGCAGGAAACTTCTACTTCTGCAAAATTGCTTCATTAGTATGCAAAGTGTATCACACTCAGAGAAGACGTTTGGCTAATATACCACCTAAACAATACAGATGTTTAATGAAACGTTAAAGAGACAAAAGTAATAAAAAATATTTGACATATATCTGACACATATTGATTTATATTTAAATCACCAACAGCTAATTTTATTGCAATTTTTAACAGTTTTTACAACAATTAGGGTTATTGAAAAAAACATTAATCACAATAAAATCAATAATACATTATTTACCTTTAAAATCTACCAATTAATTTACCCTTAAAATTGACCAATTAAATTTATTTTTTAAATTCCGCTATGGTGACCACTGCTTTATAAAGGGACTAAGCCAAAAAAAAATGAATGAATAAATGAATATATATATATATATAATTTTTTTTCAGTACTCCACAGCTAAACTTGTATATTTTTGCTGTTTTCACTAACATGACCGGGTCTTTTTGTTTTATTTCAGGGAGGAGCCATTTCCATTCTGACCGCATGCGAGAGGCCGCAGGATTTTACAGGTGTGGTTCTCATTGGCCCTATGGTTCAGATGAGTGCTGAATCTGCTACACCCTTCAAGGTAAATAATAATAATAATAATAATAATAATAATAATAATAATAATAATAATAATAATAATAATAATAATAATAATAATAATAATAATAATAAAAATCACACAAGAGTGCAAGCAAATTTCTCTTCTTCCCAAGTGAGCATTTGATTTCAATCACAGCCGAAACATGAGGCTGTAAATTAGATTTGCTGCCCTCTGCAGTCAGACGGTTAAACGCAATCAAATAACAATGGCTTGTAAATGTCAGCTGTCAAATAACAGCAGTAAAGCAATCAATAACTGCCTCTGTACAGTACATTGACATTTATTGCTGTTTTTGTTTTTTTGCTGTGGATGTAGAGAAATCATCATGCTAACCATGAACATGTTCCAATTGCATTTGATGACATGAAAGTATTGTTTATTATTTAAATGGATCGTTTTTGTAGATTGTTAATTTTTTACAGCAGTTAAAAAAGTATAGTAGTCTAATATAGTAGTATAACAGCAAATAATTCCAATTATAGCATTTTGATATGTAATATCAAAATATGATATGTCCATATTTGGGCCACTATATGTTTATACAGTATGTTGTGAACTAGGGCTGCACAATATGTCGTTTTAGCATCAATATGGCAATATGTGCATCCGCAATAGTAATATCGCAGGATCTCCAATGTTGAATTGGGATTTTATTTTACCAGGAACCACAGGTCAGAACATGGAATCATTGGAGATATTTACCCTAATGGAGCAAATGTTAATCATTTTCATATGTTTTTAAGGCATGTGACTGTATGGGCAAATCAAATTTGTTCAAAGCATTCAGGTAATTTTCAGTTCAAGAAGTTGTACCATTTGAACCTTCAATAAAAAATATTTTATTGAATTGTTTATGCAATAAAAACTGTGCAGTGCTATTTTTCATTGGATTATTCAAGTTCTGTTCCTGAATTGTTAGCAAACAAAGCTATTTAGGTCATCTGATGAAATTGTATTCATATTCCAATATACAGTTGAAGTCAAAATTATTTGCCCCCCTGAATTATTAGTCGCCCTGTTTATCCCCCCATTCATAAAGATGAATACACCTATAGTGATAGACCATTACAGCAATGGACTTACATGTAAATGTAAATGTAACACTTGATCTGAAAGTGAAAGTTTATCTAAAAAAAATTGCTAATTGTTAGTGACCCAGAATGTGAAAATTCTAAATGTTAATGCATTGTGATGGCTAATGGTTAGTAAAACTGGGAATGTGAACTATTTAAATTGTAAATACTAAAAATTGAGTCCTATAGTGTCTGATACCACAGAAATGTTACGAGAGTGTAAAAATGTTCAGTTCTCTGCAGTAAATTGATAATATCTGTGAATTCTTTTGCAGGTTTTTATGGCCAAAGTTCTAAACCGCTTGGCTCCTAAACTCACTCTCGGCCCAATCGATCCAAAATTTGTCTCACGGGATCCCAAACAGGTATGTGGAATGTATGTGAAAGGTCGTCTGTAATGTATATGTGTGTATATTATACCACTGACAGCTAGTGTTTAAACAGACAGTCCAGCTGGGTTATTTGTAATAATAATCTTATAATGTGTTGAAATAATATTTACACTGTAAATCTACTCTTTCAGAGTGAAGCATAAGCAATACATCGAGATGATAACATATGACTTTCATTTTCAGCCTGGCCATAAAATACTGAGATGTTCCACAGAAACAGCTTGTGCCGTTTATCTAGCCTTAGAAGATAGATATACCAGACTTCAAAAATTGAAGCTCACTGTTCTCAGAGAATCTGCTTTTTGTTAAGTTGTTTCCGGGTCCAAGCCTCTGTTCTTTTGTACTGAGAAAACCTTTTTTTTTATAGTTGTTTGTGAACACAGTTTAGCCATATCACACTGCATCACACACACCAATATTTGACCCATTTATCCACCTTTTTTTGCATGTGATGACAGCGTTTCTCTTCCAGCTAATGGAACTTCCGTTCAAAAGAACTGAAATTACTTTGTTTGAATTACAAAGTTACACTACAAATGGGTGACTCTAGAATTGGGGGTACATTTTGCATCTCCTAGATCAGGGGTGCCCAAACGTTTTCATATAAAGGACCAAAAGCCAAATATCATTGAGAGCCATGGACCGAAGTTAAAAATACCAAGCTATATTACATTAAAGTTGCCATGGGTAATTTCATTCATTTTCTTTTCGGCTTAGTCCCTTTATTAATCTGTTATTGAACTGAATTTACCTATAGCGCATATCTTTGGACTGTGGGGTAAACAAAAGCACCTGGAGGAAACCCACGTGAATGCAGGGAGAACATGCAAACTCCACACAGAAACGCCAACTGACCCAGCCGAGGCTTGAACCAGCGACCTTCTTGCTGTGAGACAACAGCACTACCTACTCTGCCACTGCGCATCTTAATTTCGTAATTTATCTCATAAAATTTTGTAAAAAAAATTACTTTAAATCATTTTAACTAATGCAGTATAAAAATGATAACTTATTGCAACAATAGCATAAATCACATTTAGAACACAGTGGATTTCAATGATGGATACACTAGTCAACCAGAATCTGCCTTTTCCTTTATTTGTCTTCTATCTGTCAGGTGACACAGTATGTACATTTAAAGTAAATCAGATTAATTTACACTGTTTAATTGAAACGTTTTACTTCAGTTAGCTTTTAACAATAAAACAAACAAACAAAAGGTTACATTATATTTGAAATGACAACCTCTAAACCAGAGGTGCCGGAACATTTTCTTATGATGGGCCAAAAACCTTGATTGAGGCTTGAGGGCCCAAAGTAAATATAGCAAACTGTATTTTATTAAAGTCGCCATGGCTAGTTTCCTAATTTATTTCATAACAATAGCAAAAATTACTTTAATCATATTACCTAATGAATTCTTTTGATCTTTTTACATCTTATTATGAATTTATTACAATAAAACTAATAATTCATGTTATAGCACAATAAAGTTTAATGCTGTATACACTAGTCATGATGCTGAAGTCTTATTAGGTCAAGTGACAGTATTTACAACATAAAATCATAAAATCTGATTCATTTACCACATTGAATTAAAACATTTAATTTCAGTGAGCTTTTTGTAGCTTTACAATAAAATAAACAAAATGTTAAGCTAAATCAGAAATCACAATCTCTGTTAAATCTATGTGAAGATTCACAAACTGATTTCGAGAGGAGCACGTGATATGATTGACTACAGCTGATCCTTATCGCTTTGGAAAGCACCCTTCTATCCTTTCCTTCTCCATCCTCCTCAATTCTATGATTGGGTGATATGGCGGCTCAGTGGCTGGCGCTACTAGCTCGCAGCAGGAGGGCCAATGATTCAAGTTCTAATTAAGCCAGTCGGTACTCTGTGCAGTGTTTGCATGTTCTCCCCGTGTTCACGTGGGTTTTCCCTGGGTACTCCGGTTTCCTTCAACAGTCTAAAAACATGTACATAAGTGAATTGTCATAAGTCACTGAATTGTCACAAGCACTTAACGCATGCATTCTAAATCGATTTGAACCACCATATTAACCAAAGTATATAGGCTCTTGAGAAATACTTGATCTTGTATCCCTCCTAGTGCTCATTGACCAGGCGGGAACCTTGGGCTCATCAATCTCCAAGCTCATGGTTCTCACTCGGGACAGCATGTCAAAGCTGCTATCATAGTATATATATAATGTGTATTCATAGATATTTTGTCATACAAATATAAAAGACTATAATACATTAACCTCTATAACTATTCAGCTTCAATTCTCATGAAATAATTAAGTCTTCATCTTTGTTTTTTTATGTTTTTTTTACTCTGTTAAGTTAAATAAATAGTTTTTCTTTATCAATTGTAATTTTCATCCATTCATTTATTTTCTTGTTGGCTTAGTCCCTTTATTAATCCGGGGTCGCCACAGTGGAATGAACCGCCAACTTATCCAGCAAGTTTTTATGCAGCGGACGCCCTTCCAGCCGCAACCCATCTCTGGGAAACGTCCACACACACACACTCATACACTATGGACAATTTAGCTTACCCAATTCACCTGTACCGCATGTCTTTGGACTGTGGGGGAAACCGGAACACCTGGAGGAAACCCACGCGAATGCAGGGAGAACATGCAAACTCCACACAGAAACGCCAACTGAGCCGAGGCTCAATTGTAATTTCAGTAACAAAAAATACTTCTTGTGTCTCTCCTTATATTCTAGTCAACACTTTAATATTGGTTATAAAAAGGCATAGCATTTTGAAAAGCACTGTTAGAAAAAGTATTTGACCTGCTCCAAGTGATGTCACTTCCTCTGGCAGGAAACTCTGAAACAAAGAATGGATACTAGAAGTCTAGAAGGGATACAGCTGCAGCCAGAAGTTAGCAAGAATTATTTATTATATTCATTAAAATATACATTTAATTGTATGTTATTACATTTAAATGAATGCCATTAGCATCACAAGCATATCTGTTTCCAAAACTCTTCACTGACTTCACCAGATTTGTATGTATTTACTACAGTATAGTAATTGGTCACACTTTACTTTGATGGTCCGTTTGTTGATTTAAGTTACATTGCATCTACAGTTCATGCCAACTAATTCTCATTAGATTATTAGTAGACTGTTAGGTTGGGGTTAGGGTTAGTGTAGGTTGACATGCACTTGCAAAGTTTCTTATAGTCAGTTAAATGTCTGTTAAAGGAGCAGTATCAACAGATATTAAGCAGACAGGCTACTAACACTTAAATGGACCATCAAGTGTTACCTAGTAATCTTCCAGTACAGTAATCTTCCAGACATGTCCCCAATATTGCTGCAAAAAGTTTAGTTTTTTTGCTTTTTAGTAATTCATAGGATATTCATGGTCTACTGATGGTAACTGGTTAACTCAAATTAAAGTTTTTAATAACAGCTAATAAATTATTTTTATGTGGATTAAACATAAGGTGGATTAAACACTATTGTCTATTAAACACTATCTGAGATCAGTCATGGATATAAACAAAACAATCTTGATTTTCAATAGTATTGCAGCAAACTATAAGCAAATATTAGTGCCATTTGTTGTTTTTCTTGAGACTATTTACGTCAGCAAGAGGGTTGTCTTGAAAACGGAGTTAGTGCTATTGGGATTGTGTTTTTAATACTTCTTCATCTCCATGTGTCTGTCAGGTGGAGGCATATGAAAAGGATGAGCTGAATTATCATGGGGGGCTACGCGTCTCGTTCGGGATGCAGATGTTGGATGCGACGTCTCGCATCGAGAGAGAGTTACCAGACATCAGGTGGCCCTTTTACATTCTACATGGAGACGCCGACAAACTGTGTGACATCAGAGGCTCTCGGTTATTGTATAATGAAGCCAAGAGCACTGATAAAAAACTGAAGGTGGGTCAAACCTTCAGAAATACTGGCCAAAATAATGCAAATATTTTGCTCAACTTCATGTCAATACATTTGTCTGTGGTGAATTACTTATTCTGAATACCAAAAATACATAATAACAAATATTTTAAATAACAGAATATCAAATTATCGCAGTTGTTGTAAATAAAATATTATTTACGGTAATTCCAAAAAGTAATATAATTTTTTATATATATATTTTTTCCCTTTTTCCATATTAGCTTGTTGTTATGCTTGTTTAAGAGGGATTTGTATACATGCATTATATTTAAACATATATACACTCACCGGTCACTTTATTAGGTACACCTTACTAGTACCGGGTTTGATCCCATTTTGCCTTCAGAACTGCCTTAATCCTTCGTGGCAAATAGATTCAACAAGGTACTGGAAATATTCCTCAAAGATATTGGTCTATATTGACATGATAGTATCACGCAGTTGCTGCAGATTCGCCAGCTGTACATCCATGGTGTGAATCTCCTGTTCCACCCCATACCAAAAGTACTCTATTGGATTGAGATCTGGTGACTGTGGAGGCCATTTAAGTACAGTAAACTCATTGTCATGTTCAAGAATCCAGTCTGAGATGATTCGTGCTTTATGACATGGCACTTTATCCTGCTGGAAGTAGCCATCAGAAGATGGGTACACTGTGGTCATAAAGGGATGGACATGGTCAGCAACAATACTCAGTTAGGCTGGGGTGTTGACACAATGCTCAATTGGTACTAATGGGCTACGAATAAATCCCCCACACCATTACACCACCACCAGCAGCCTGAACCGTTGATACAAGGCAGGATGTATCCATGCTTTCATGTTGTTGATGCCGAATTCTGACTGTACCATCCGAATGTTGCAGCAGAAATTGAGACTCATCAGACCAGGCTAAAATTTTTCAATCTTCTATTTTGGGTGAGGCTGTGCAAATTGCAGCCTCAGTTTCCTGTTCTTAGCTGACAGTAGTGGGACCCGTTGTGGTCTTCTGCTGCTTTAGAGCAGGTTCGACATTTTGTGCGTTCAGAGATGCCCTTCTGCATACCTTGGTTGTAGCGAGTGGTTATTTGAGTTACTGTTGCCTTTCTATCAGCTCAAACCAGTCTGGCCATTGTGCTCTGACCTCTGGCATCAACAAGGCATTTGCGCCCACAGAACTGCTGCTCGCTGGAGATTTTCTCTTTTTCGGACCATTCTCTGTAAACCCTAGAGATGGTTGTTCGTGAAAATCCCGGTAGATCAGCAGTTTCTGAAATACTCAGACCAGCCCGTCTGGAACCAACAACCATGCCACAATTGAAGTCGCTTAAATTACTTTTCTTCCCCATTCTCCATGTTCGTCAGATTGTCTTGACTATGTCTACATGCCTGAATGCAGTGAGTTGCTGCCATGTGATTGACTAAACTTTGAGTTAGCAAGCAGTTAAATAGGTGTACCAAATAAATTGGCCAGTGAGTGTATTTGTACATGTGTATGTATGTGTTAATATATAAGTATAATTTGTATTCATGTACTCGTGGTGATGTTGTGCTTGTAGATGTTTTGAATATTGCAGCATAACTTGATCCAGATGCTCATTCTGCCCTCATAACATAAAAACAATAGACCATCTGTATACAAACACTCATTTATATGCATTCCCTGGTGTGTGTGTACTAACCTAGATTTGTTTCTCTGTGACAAACAGGTATATGAAGAAGCTTACCATGCCCTACATCACGACTTACCTGAAACAATCGAGTCTGTATTAAAGGAGGTGAGCACCTGGATCCTGGAGAGAGTCCCTGCCCCTCAAACCTCTTAGCTGTCAATCACAGCATACACACACACATGCCTAAGCTCCGCCCCTGTCCAATCACATCTCTACTTTACAGAGAGATATCAGCCTGCACTACATGCAAACAATACTATCCTCTGTTTAATTAACCTAGAGGTCTTTACTAAGTGACCTTTGAGCATAAGGCAAAGCACTGGAGATGAAAAAGGTGAAAAATTATCACCATACTTCACCAGTTGACCAATTACTTTAAGAAATAAATTTTTTATAACAAGATTTGATATGCTATGTTTAAATATGAAACGAGGCTCATTAAAATATATTTCAAGCATAAAAATCTGAACTGAAGTCAGGTTCAAAAAAGATCTTTTTGACACCACAGGGTCTTTTTTATCACTCCATAATTCAGAAACTACAACGAACAGCCAGCAAAAATATTATAATAACAATATTTTTTAAGAATAAAAGTTTATATGCAATCAGATAAATTATGTATAGACATATATCCCTTGGTAGAAACTTTCAACATATAGATACAACTGACAAATTGGTGTAAAAATGTGATGAATGTAAGATCTGAAAGCTGCTGAAATGGAAATATAGTGCAGGAGAAAAAAAAAACGGCCTTTAAAAATATAGAAATATAGAGAAGTATTGTTAAACTGTGACAAAAGAAACACATGAAGGTGTTTTTTAGAATGTTTTCCTTACATTATACTGAAAAAGTATGGAGCCAGATCAGCTTAAAATAATAATGCATTTACAATTCACATTTACAAAATTTAATTAGAAAGTTCAAAACACAATTCATAAATGCGCAAATCCAATTCGGAAATTCAAAACACAATTCATAAATACCCAAATCCAGTTTGTAAATTAAAAAAATTATTTATAAATACGCAAGTTCAGTTCGTAAACTCAAAACACAATTCATAAATACCCAAATCCAGTTTGTAAATTAAAAAAATGATTTATAAATACGCAAGTTCAGTTCGTAAACTCAAAACACAATTCATAAATACCCAAATCCAGTTTGTAAATTAAAAAAATGATTTATAAATACGCAAGTTCAGTTCGTAAACTCAAAACACAATTCATAAATACCCAAATCCAGTTTGTAAATTAAAAAAATGATTTATAAATACGCAAGTTCAGTTCGTAAACTCAAAACACAATTTATAAATACCCAAATCCAGTTTGTAAATTAAAAAAATGATTTATAAATACGCAAGTTCAGTTCGTAAACTCAAAACACAATTTATAAATGCGTAAAACCAATTAGTAAATTCATAACACAATTCATAAATATGCAAATCCAGTTTGTAAATTCAAAATATACTTCAAAAATACGCAAATTCAGTTCGTAAATTTAAAACAGAATTCATAAATGCGCAAATCCAGTTCGTAAACTCAAAACACAAACCATAAATACGCAAATCCAATTGATAAATTCAAAACATGACTCATAAATGCACAAATCCATTTCGTAAACTCAAAACACAATTCAGAAATGTACACATGCAATTCATTTGGGAAATATTTATGATTTTTTACTTGTGAATTCACAAATTGTGTTTTGAATGCACAAATTGGATTTGGTAAATGTGAATTGTGCTGTGCATGTTTGAGCTTTACTTTTCAAAACGCTTTTATTTTTTAGACTGATGTGGCTCCATAAAAAAAAATAAAAGCCAAAACCTCAAAACTAACAGGTGCATTAAAAAAGCAGCATTTTTTTCCAATAGTGTCTCGCTTTAAGGTCCAATTAAGCTTTAATATGGCCAGTGAGGGTTCTGTGGGAGTTCTTATTCCCTGTCAAACTTCAAAAGGCATCAGCTCTGCAGGACATGGCATACAGGAAAATGAATGCCGCTTGCCCTCAGTGTTGAGCTCTCTTTTCGTGTTGCCACAGTAATAAAACACTCTCGTTGCTGTCCACTGCTCATTAGAGATGCGGTGCTGCCCCCGCTGGACAACAGCAGTACTGCATTCTGCTGTGAGCGCAGTTACCAAGCAACTTAACCATATATATTACATATAGCTTGGCAGGAAAACAAACCGAACGAGAATATGGAAATGCCTTGAGACATTCAGAGAGCAAAATGTCCGCTGGGCGAGTCTAACATTGCACTCATAGAGATCAATTGGATAATCTCTACACTACAGACACATCTAACTATGCAGGAGATCCCCCCTATATATATGGCCACAACAAGGAAAATTGGAGAGAGATTTCTTTTTGTGGTTTGACTGTTTCAGACACCTAAGACTGTTTCATTCCTTTGAGTAAATGAAAAGTAAATGCCTCTGCGTTTGCTGAAAATGAAACCGATTTACAGCTGATTCTTCCTTACAAGCTCTGGAATTGTAATATCTCATTCTGTTATTTTTTACAACTGTTTTGTTATTTGTTTGACTACTCTATTAATGAATATGTTACTGTTGAAATGATAGTGTGTTCACAATAGCTTTTGGCCTCATCGCAGACCTTCCGGGTGCTAATGGGGTTTGTAGCTCTAAAACAACATGGAATTGTAAAAAGGTCAGTCGCTCACACCAGCTTAACATTTACCACGACTGATGAAGGGTGAATTTTGTTACAAAAGGTTTGCATGCAAGACTCGAAAGCATTTTATCAGAGAATGTGGAGCATTTAATTGAATGTGGCACATTTTTAATGGAAGCAAAACGTTTCTTTATCTTACTTTTATAGATTGTCGTTGAATGCTCTGGTAATAACAATACTGACATACACAACTGAAATGTCCAGATTGTAAATAGTGTGCATGTTTGTGTATGCATTTTGGAGAGAGACTATATATGTATAGAAAGGGAAGCTATATAGTTTGGGTGTTTGTTTTACATGTACTGCATTTTATTACGTATTTGTCTCTCTGTCTTTGAAGGATCACACGTACATTTGTAGAATAACCTAATCTGTCTCAGTGATAATCTTCTTCGACTTTGACTGTTTCTGTAATTTCTCAAATCTTCCTTTGGAGGAAGTGCTAGGAACACTGGGATTGGAGGAGCAGCTCATATTCTCAAGGACGTTATTTCTTACATTGGGCAATAATGCAGGATTCATTTGGATTTGAACTTGCTTGCCTTTACAAAGACATCTAAAATGCTCTCCTGCAGTCGCACTGTCCTAGTAAATGGCACATTTGATATAAAAAGGGTTCTGAGTTCTTTGCATAAATGCTGTAATATATTAAACAGAAATGAAAGCTATAATGTAATTGCGTAATAATCTGTATGGAACTGTTAATTATAAAAAATAATAAATTTTAAATGATGGAAATAGTTTGTGTGGATTTATTATTGCTTGGTTGGTTGACTGAAGATGATTCCACCATGGTGTTATGTCTTGGTCATGTGTTTTAATGAAACCCCGAGGCTCTAAATAAAAAAGCCCTTCTATATAAAAAGCCCTTTTCTTCCCAGAACATCTGAATTGTTTAAGATTGTTCTTTCTGATCGCAATGCCTGAATCAATGATTCTCAGGAATTCACTGCAATGACCTTTCTTAGAACCAGATAGTGTAAAACTAAATTATGATCCAATTTGTTCTAGAAAACGGTCCTTTGAAGTCACACAGCTATTATTCCAGTGGGCTTGTTTCCCTTGGTGAATTTCTGATCTAGTTTCTGTAGGCAACAGGCTTGTGCATGTAGTCATTTATAAACGTTTTCCCTATTTAAATTTAAACATGGACGAATGTGTTACAGTTGGCATAAAAAGCATAAAGTTATATTGTTTCATTGCTTATAGATATTTAGAGAAAACAAAGCAGGACCTGATTTTGTCAGAGGAAAAATTTATTCATTTAAAGAAATGTGATTGTTGCATTAATTCTAATTGGGTTAATATTGATAATTCCCATATTATATGTTCTTAGTTATTATATTAGGAAATAAATTATTTTAGTACTTTTTTATTAGAATGTTATACAAGCAAAATGTACAGTGACCGGCCACTTTATTAGGTACACCTGACCACCTGCTTGTTAACTAAAACTAAAAACTAAACTAAATTTCTAACCAGCCAATCACATAAAAGTGACTCAAGGCTATAATTCACACAGGCTCAGCAAAATTGGACAATAGAAGTATCAATAAATGTTACCTGGTCTAATGATTCTTGATTTCTGCTGCAACATTCGGATGGTACGGTCAGAATTTGGCATCCACAACATGAAAGCATGGAACCATCCTGCCTTGTATCAACGGTTCAGGCTGCTGGTGGTGTTGTAATGGTGTGCGGGATATTTTCTTGGCACACTTTGAGCCCATTAGTACCAATTGAGCATTGTGTCAGCGCCACAGCCTACCTGAGTATTGTTGCTGACCATGTCTATCTCTTTATGACCACAATGTACCCATCTTCTAATGGCTACTTCCAGCAGGACAATGCTTCATGTCAAAAACCGCGAATCATCTCAGACTGGTTTCTTGAACATGACAATGAGTTCACTGTTCTCAAATGGCCTCCACAGTCAGCAGATCTCAATCCAATTGAGCACCTTAGGGATGTGATAGAACGGGAGATTTACATCATGGATGTGCAGCCAAAAATCTGCAGCAACTGCATGATATTATCATGTCAATATGAATCAAAATCTCTGAGGAATGTTTCCAATACCTTGTTGAATCTATGCAACAAAGAATTAAGGCAAAAGGGGGTCCAAACCGGTACTAATAAGGTGTACCCATTAAAGTGGCCGGTGAGTGTATTTATGTTGTTTGCTATTTTTTAGGCATAACCTTTACATTATTTTGTTATAAATGGCTATGAAATGGAGGTTAATTGACTTTGTCATTATTTTTCACTACAAATTTAATTAAGATCAGTAATTCAAATGGGTTTCATTAGGAAAGTTAGTAGATTATTTGTACTTTTAAAGGCCATAATTTAATCTTCAAAAAGGATTTCTCACCAGTATTATAATTCATGTCTTGATTGAAGGAGAGAGATAGTGAGTGAATGTGTGTGTTTGTGTGTGTGTGTGTGTGTGTGATTCTTAGTTATCTTATTTCTTTATTAATGGGGTCATTTATTCCTTTTCCTTCGGCTTAGTCCCTTTATTCATCAGGGGTCGCCACAGCAGAATGAACCGTCATCTTATCCAGCATATGTTTTATGCAGTGGATGCCCTTCCAGCTGCAACCCGGTATTGGTAAACTTCCATACACTCACATTCACACTCATACACCACGGCCAATTACCTATACCGGATGTCTAGCAGTGAGGTGACAGTGCTAACCACTGAGTCACCTTGTCACCCTTTTAAAGGGGTATATCCAGTAATTAATTTTTCTTAATATTCACTAATTAAAAAGTTTGCTAATAATAAAAGGTTATGGTTATGACTAAAGAATGAATCTTTTAGTGTAAATATTGGCCAGATTGTAAATGCACTGCGAGCGTTAAAATGGATGACACCTTACATAAGCGAATAATAAGTGAATGCTGACTAAAGGATGACACGTCTCATGTTGTGTTCCACAGAAGAAGAAAACACAGGTTTGTAATTACATGACGCTGAGTGAACAATCCCTTCGAGAAAAGAGGAAATCCGGCTTTCACGGTGAGCTGTTACTATCCGGCAGGGGGCGCGAGGGGGACCTCGAGGAAATGACTGGAGGATTTAAAGGTGGTTCTGTGTGTCCATGGCAACGGCTTTACCTGCGACCTGAATGGAGACCCGAGAATAGATCGACTGCTCTATATTTACTGACAGGGAACTCCTGCTCTCCTGGCGGATATTCATTTCATCAGTTCTCCTTAAGATGGAGCCTTCTAGACCACCGAGCCCTTCTAGGAATTCTCAGTCAGTGGTAGCCTTTGGGTTTTTAAAGTTGACCTAATAAACGACTCATGTCGTACATCATATTCGATGATAAAAGTTAATGTTTGACGTTTTATGGCGGCATACGCGTGCACAGAATAGGCTAAACTCTTGTCGTGACAGCTCCACCTTTTAGATTTGTTGTAGGCTACTTTTGTTTTTACTTCACTCACTTGCATTACTGACTGAGAGAGGGATTCCGTGTTTTGCTCATCGCTGAGTTCTCGCTGAGGTCAGAATTGGCCCTGAACCCCATAACAGCCTCGCAAAATAACTCATCTTCACCCACTTCCTAAATCTCGCACAAGCACGCTTCAAAGAGGCGGGGCTAGTGTCTCATGCTGCTTTGCGATTGGTTCATCTCGCCATCCATCAGGGTTTGACGTTGTGGCTCGCTCTCGAACTCTGTGACCGCGCCCCCGAGGCTCAGCGGCGGTGGAGAAGGAGAGAGTGTGCAACTCAGGAGGATCCAGCGGTCTGTTCTCACAGGAAAAAAAACGAGAAAATTTCAGCTCATACATGGCGAAATTTGTTTTATTCGACGTCCAGACACATATGCATTCAGGACCGCGGCTCTGACAGCGACAGGCGAGGCGATTATCCACAGCTTCACAGAGGTTGGAGTTTACCGAGGGTTTTCGTAGCAGTTTCATGCTTGGAGGCGCGCGAGTGCCGGTGTCGTCGTCTCCGTGGGCGCCGTTTCGTGCTTTCCGGTGACAGCTGACACTTGTCCGATTTACCAAGACTAGAAGGCCTGCTCTGCTCTGCCTCCTTCCAGCCCGGTGTCCCTGTCAGCGCGGGGCCGCCTGCACACTCACCCCGGCGCGGCCTCGCTCCTTGACGAACCCCCGGCGACGACACAGCGTAGAGCCTGTTACCCACACACCTCCACAACCACCTGCCGTGTTTACAACGACCAGCAAAACCGTGAATCTTTGGAGGAAAACGGACTAGAGGGACGCTGGTGATATCGACAGGCGGAGCTGTCATTAAACATACACAGCTCTTTGAATTTAAGCATATTTAATAGTTCATTCTCACGCGACTGGCTCATTCTCTCTCGCATATCCTTAATCAAACTATCAAGCAGCCAAACGCCTGACACAGAAACTAAACACGCTTGGAGCAAAGGCAAGGCCTTGTCTGCTAACTCAGATAGCTGCACCGCTAACACTCAGCCTGGCTTTAATCAGCTTCTAATCTCATTAACTCCACTTTTTGACTCCTATTCATCGCTTATTTTGTAAGATTCTACACAATAGAGGGGCGATTTTAATTTAAAGCCATTGGATCAACGCACAGTACAGTACAGAATCCCTGCCAAGAGATCTGTTCAGCAGCAGCAGCAGCAGGAGGAAACAGAGCTGTCAGCCTTTATTTTCTACTACTCGGCCTGATTAATTCCCACCTTGGGAAAGAAAAACCCGAAGAATCTTATGTGTTGGGCTGGATTCAGCTGACCTTTGCTACGAAAATTAACTAAGTCCCTCGTGAGCTTCTTGCGCTGTAACCCGCTGCATGCACTGATACGGGAAGGACTTGATTTATATTTTTGTACCATAGTTCAGGAGCCATTTAGAACAGGGTCAGATCTCTGCACAACCCCTACTACTGTTTAAACATGAGTATTGAGATTCCAGTCGGGCTGACGGAGCTGCTTCAAGGCTACACCGTGGAGGTGCTGCGCCAGAGGCCGCCGGACCTGGTGGAGTTTGCCGTGCAGTATTTCACCCGCCTGCGGGACACCAGGAGCCAGGACGGGTCCGGGGCCGCCGCCAAAACCGGGGGGAAGGGAGTGATGTTTGATGGCGAGCCGATGCAGACAGAGTCCAACGGGGACGAAGATGACGAGGACGATGACTCAGATTTTGAGCGTGAGTGCCTCTTTATTAAACGAGCTGCCTGTAACTCATGAGACTGCGTTTGTTTTAGTGGATAGTGTGTTTGCACGGCTAACAAGGGTGTCAGATTTCCCTAGTGATGATGGGTAACGTGAGCAACGGTCCTATCTAGGCTGTTTCCATGGCACTCGCTCTCATCCATGCGCTTGATTGACAGGGTGACAAGTAGCCTGCACTAGGCATCCCCAGAATGCATGCAAAATTAAAATGCTCTAGTAATGGATTTGCATTAATATTTATGCATCTCCTTTTGAATAGAGACGGCTTGTGGCGTGAGTGCGATGCTAACCCATTCGTGCAGTATGAATTGCTTGTATGAATGGATGCGGGCTGGCCATTGAGAATGCTAACAGGGATTTTTCATAATGGAGAGAGGTGCGCTCGTGCACATCAAAGCAAGCCCCTCTTTCCTTTCATGTAGTGCAGAGCGAACAGCTGCGCCTCCCGAGCAGATTCACTGGCAGACATTTCTGAAGTCAGCATTTGTGAATTAAAGCATTCTTAAAAAAATAAGTGATTGGGGGAAATCTGGGCCACGTGAGGAAGCAGTGTTGAAATGGATAGGGGGATTAGTTCACATGAACAAATCGCTTAATCATATTTCATCAAGCCGCAGGGTGTGCAATACCTGAATGTCTTTGTGTGGATTATAAATTGTTTGTTTTGATATTTAAGGTTGTAATTGTTTTCATAACCTATTGAACGGAATAAGGAAGTCCAGCCCTATCTGTGTGCTAAATCTGATTTGAGATCACTCAAGATTGTGTGCTTTCAGTGGTTTGTATTTGAGCTGGTGCATCATTCCCTTCTCACGTTTGAATATGCATTGCTGCTGTATACCGTAGTAAAGCAGCGTGTTAAATGATCATGTCTGAACATGGAACTGAAAATACTTTTACATGCACAGTGGTTATAATCGAGCAACAGTAGATTGCAATCTCTACCTAATCAAATATTCAGACAATTTTGTTGAACCAACCATCACCTGATGTTTTAAGAGAAGTTTAAATGACATCTTTATAGTCGAGTTGTCTGATTTTAAAATTTTAGTCATTTTGAAAATGGTGGATAATTGAGCTAAGTGGCTTTTTTATAGTGCAAGAGCCTTGCTGTTAGACCAAATCTCTGTATATATGTAAGTATTGTTTGTTAATTTGGTCTGACTGCTCTGTGGTTGTTTTAGCACAATTTACAAACAGCATTGCAAACGTGTGTGGTTGGAACTGTAGCTCTCTTTTAACCTAGTTAGAAGAACAGTTTCATATGACATGAATTTTAAAAATGTCATGCATTTGAGCAGAATAAGGAACTAATGCGCACTACAGTGAGTCTATATCTTTTAGTCATTCATTAGGAGAATGTGAGGGCAATTTTGATGAGTGCCCATGTGCTTACAAGCTTATTGCGATGATGGAAGCCTGTGGTGATGTAAGGAAATCTACGTAAAAAGACAAAATAGCAAGAACAATTAGAACAGTTCATAGATTATACGTTTATTATTTAATTTTATAGGATGGGGCTGCACGACATTGATAAAATCTGAAATTGCGATTATTTCTACGATAAATATTGTGTTATGACTACAGTTTCATGGTGCTATTTTGACTAGCACCATTTGATGGTTTTCTGTGGAGTCTAACAGTAATCAGGTACAGAAATTGAATAATCACAATGCAAAAAATGCTTTTCTTATTTTGTTTTTTCATTTCTAGTCTTAATATCAAACAATTCTTAGAGCAAGTAAAATATTGTTTTGTTTTTACCGTCAGTAGAAATAAGTCAAATTTAAGTGTTTTTCCTTAAAACAAAAAACGTTATCTGCCGTAAAGGTGAGTAAAATCTTGTTTTTGCTTTGCTTTGATGTAGACATTTGGGATAGAAACAAGACAAACATTCTAAGTAACAATTACTTTGCATAAATTATATACATTCAATATAAATAAAGGAATTAAATACAATTCTGTAGCTCCTGCTCAACTATAATTCAGGCTCAACATTGCATATTTTTGCGATGTTACTATTGCAGATGTGCACATTGCGTGAAATGACGTATTGTGCAGCCCTACTTTTATAGCAGTAGTCTGACATTGTTTTTATTTCAAGCTTTAGGTAGTGAAAATTTAGCTCTCCATCACCTAAGTCAGTGGTTCCCAACCTTTTTCTTTGGGGCCCCCCCCCATAAGCATATACAAACACTGGAGCCCCCCCAACATATAAATACACACACACGCACGCACGCACGCACGCACACACATATGTACTGTGTGTATATATATATGTGTGTGTGTGTGTGTGTGTTTGTGTAATATATAGTAATATGTATAGAAAATATTAATTAATCAGTTTTAACTTCTCTTGGCCTTCAATAAAACCAAAATTTAGGTAGGCTTTGTCATACTGTCTAATCTTTTTATTCGCCTCTGAAGAATCACAGCATTTACGTCTGTCTGCCATTTTTGTTTTAATTTTGCCTTTACGACATGTTGACAAGCAGATTGCCTGAGTGAGTAAAATTTAAATAATTATTTAAAGTTATTTATTTTAATTATTTTCACTATTATGTTGGAATTTTAAGCATGTGTTTAGATTATTATTATTTTTTTTTTGGGCTGCTCGATTTTGGGAAAAATCATAATCACGATTATTTTGGTCATAATTGTAATCACGATTATTCAAAACCATTGCCAGTTAAAAATTATGTTTAACAGAGCAAGGAATTTTAACAGTATTTCCTATAATATTTTTTCATCTATTTGTTTTATTTTAGCTAGAATAAAGACAGGTTTAAATATTTTGAAACCAATTTAAGGTCAATATTATTAGCCTACTTAAGCAATATATATTTTTGATTGTCTGCAGAATAAACTACCGTTATAATGACTTGCCTTATTACTCTAATTAAGCCTTTGAACTGCACTTTAATCTGAATGCTTGTATTTTGAAAAATATCTAGTAAAATATTATGTGCTGTCATTATAGCAAAGACAAAAAGAAATCAGTAATTAGAAATGAGATATCAAAACTATTATGTTCAGAAATAAGTTAATAAAATATTCTTTCCATGAAACAGAAGTTGGGCAGGAAAAGGTTTGCTAATATTCAAGAGGGCTAATAATTCTGACTTCAACTGTATACATACAGTTATTTTCCACCCTGCAATGGAAAGAGAAATAAATACAATAGCATAAAAATATGAAACAAACTGTGCTTTAAGCATCTTCACTGTAAGAAAAACACTTTAGCTACAGCAATCCTTCAGTCAAGAGCAGCAAAGGTTTTCTCGTTATGTTTGTTTAATAATAATAAAAACAGGCGGCAGAAGGATTATAGCGCACTATCTCTTTAATGGTTTCTCTTTCACGTCTTTTGATCCTCAACTCGTTTGTTTATTACACAAATGAGGGTTAATGTAAATAATCACTAAACACCGCGTTTTGACACCTATTTGACCATTAAAGCGCTCACGTTAATGACTTTAGATGTCTGCGCTCCTCTGCTCGTCTCAGTGTGTGAATGAGAGTGAATGCTGACCGGCTGCATGCTTCTGACTGCGTGATCGTGCTGCACACACACATAAGCTCTTTTGCGCTTTTAAGAGCAACACGTGTACAACTGTGGCGAAATATGATGCAATAATCATTTATCTCGATTAATGCTTTTTTATAATCGTTTGAAACCGAAATCTAAATCGGATTTTCGATTAATTGCAAAGCCCTTTATAATAGTGGACCATTTTTATGCCTTTTTCTACCTCAATACTTATCCTCTCCCGCGCCCCCCCTGTGAACTCTGGCGCCCCCCTTAGGGGGGCGCGGACCCCAGGTTGGGAACCACTGACCTAAGTGATGACAACAGTTCTTACCAAGGTTGAAAGAACAAATTATGCATTCAACAATTCTGGAAACAATTGTGATTAGCTTGTTTGTTTTTTCAGCAAGGCCATAATACTAAAGTAAAGCAGTGAGTTTTGTTTTTCTTCAGGAAACACACATAGGCCCAGATTCGATTTTGCACATTATGGAAACAAGAATTGTGTTGTGTTAAAGTGCAAGTCAACTGAAACATGATAGTAAACTTTCAGTTAGTCTAGTCTTCTTCACACCTCTATGAATGTTGAGACTGGTGAAGATGTGCATGTCCGCTTTCCAGATTTTTGCTTCTGCCTCATAAGGCTTTACAATGCAGCTGATTTTTTCCTTTTTTAAAATTCTGAATCAAAAGCATCGACTTGAAACCTTCTTGTCTTCAAGGCGAGCATGTCTCATTGTTGCTTAGCACCAACAGATACCATGAGAGCACAAGCTCCAGAGCATTTTGAAAAAAGAAAAAGTGGTACAGCTTGCATTTACAATGCAACGCTCAATGTTTTTAAACTGTATTCTGCTCTATATCTACCAAAATGTAGACATGCAATGGAAAGTAACAGTAACTGAAAGTTGAATGGGAGAACCACTGGTTCTAATATGCAGTAGCAGAGCGCACCAGTCAAAGTTTAGGCACTCACACCAAAAAATTATGACCACCGTTACGAGTTTTAGATAATATATTTAACAAAAACTAACAAACAAACAAAAATCTGTATCCACCTACTGGCCTTGCACGCGCTACCTGATGCAAATAACATGAACTTAGTTAACGATAATAACTTTGCTGTTCTCACAGGTAGTGACTGATGTGGCACAGATGATATTGGCATATGACTAGGGAATCTGCTGACAATTTTTGCTATTTCTGCCAAAAAATTTGCTAAAAATCTGCAGAAAAAAATATTTTGGGAGTATCATAACTAAAACTATATATGTGAAATAAAAAATAATATCTTTTTAAACTTTTATTTAATGTTTAAATTGCAAATCCAATTAGATTCACTTTATTTGGTAAACAAATAATAATTTTAATAACAAATAATAATAATAACAAATAATATTAAACTCTCCTATAATATATCTACTAAAAACAGAAAATATTACTGT